CTTTAGTAGAAGGGTTTTTATAGTTTTCTTTATACCTTAAGACTATTAAAGCTATTTATTTATTTTCCCTTTTATCCCTAGGATTTATATTATCCTTATTATTATTTTTAGAAGAATTAGAGGGATTTTCTAGGTTTTTCTAGGACGAGGGATATTTCTAAGGGTATAGGAAAAAATAGTCTTCTTCTATGTAATTTTTTATTTTATAATATTTATAAAATATACCCTTAATCTTTTTCTAGGGTTTTTTAATTATTCTTAAAGGCTTTTTAGTTCCTTAAAGAGTTAAAATTTTCCCTTTATTTTTCTAAGACCTATTAAAGTCTAGAAGGGAGGATATAATCTTTTCTAGTAAATAATTAGAAGGATCTTAATAAAGAGCTTATATTATATAGGTTATAGTATTCTCGTTTTTATCCTATATTTTATATAAGACCTAGGCTTTTATTATTTATTCTAGAAAGTTTAATTTTCTATTCTTTAATTCTTTTAATAATTCTATAATTTTATAAAAGAAGTTTTCTATAGAATTAAAATTAGAGGGATCTAGAGCGAAAAACGATATTAAAACGTTAAAATTAGCTTAAAAACCTTTTAGTTTATATAGCTCTTATAATTTTTTCTAGATTTCTAAGGGATCTAATAGGCCGTTAACCTAAATAAGTAAGCCTATATCTAGGGTACTTAATATATTCCTTATAGCTTTAAGGGCTTTTATATATTTTTCTTTAATTAAATTAATAAGAAGAGGTTTAATAATTTCTTTTAATTTAATTCCCTAAGATAGGAAAAAAGACTTAATTTATATAATCTAAATCTTATATTTATTATTACTTTTAAGTTTCTAAAAGGATAGCTTAAAAGTACCTTTTTCTATAGCTATAGAGTATTAGAGAGGTATTATAATATAGTAAAATATAATATATTAATAAGAATTATTTAAGAATAAGAAGAAATATTAAGATAAAAAATATATTAATAGAAAGAGGATCTTTTAATAATTCTTATATTTAAAGATAAGCCTTATAAACGAAAAGATAATAGCGTAAGAGGTTATTAAAGTATAAGTATAAATATAATTAAAAGTTAAATTAATAATTACGATTACTCGATAAGGAGAGGAGCTATCGATATAAAAAGTATATTAGAAGATAGAGAATCTTTTAAAGATTAAGGATAAATTAATAAAAGTTAAAATAATCTAATATATAGTAATTAAGAAGAGGTTAAAGTTATTAAATAATTAAAGAATTATTATCTCGATTATTTATAATTTAATTTCGAAGTAGATCGGAAATCTAGGCTTATAACCTATTAATATATATCGTAATCGATATAGGAGGTATTAAATAATAACCGAGGGTATAGCTTAATTATAGAATAAAGAGATAATAATAGATAAAAGGAAGAGAGAGATAAAAGTAGCTATATCTCTAAAAAGAGATATCGGGTTAAGAAGTAGATCGAAGATTCTTATAGCCCTTAATAAGAGCTATAAAATAATATATTTTTTATTTAGATCGAAGGTAAATAGGTCGAGGGGTAATTAGAAGAAGGTTATAATTAATTAAGAGAAATACTTAGATTAATCTTAATAGGAGTAAAGCGTATCTTAGAAGATATCCGTTCTTAATAGTTAAGAATATATAAAATTAAATAGGAATTACTATATAAAGGGGACTTATAAGTATAATTAAAATTAAATAATTATTAAGATCTAAAAACCTAAAAAATAGGTCTAGGGGGTACCCTTTATATATAATAGACTAACCCTTAGTAGCTATACGTAGATAAGGCGCTTAGACTACCTCTAGACCTATAGGGGAAGTAGAATCGGATTTAAGCTCTAGCTAATAGGGTATAAGAGAACTTAAACGCTTATTATTATAGAATAGCTCTATAGAATATTATAAAAATTATACCGTTCTATAGCTACGATTTCTCTCTATTTTATAATATATATATCGTTATAGTTTAGCTTTTATTTAAGCTACTAGAGTAGTTATAAGACTCTAACCCTTATAATTCCTATATTAATTATTATAGCGAACTTCTAATTCTTAAAGTTATTAAGGGCTTTAAAGAATTATTATTATTAAAGCGTTTTCCCCTTAAAAATAATAAAAAGAAAGAGGGCCTCGCCTATAATAGATATATACTTAATAATAATAACTTAAGAGTATAAATCGGCTATCTATATATAGTATTTCCGATACCCTATTTAGCCTAGAACTAGGCTATTAATTCCTATACCCTCTATAATACTTATCTCGTCTATATTAAATTATAAATATAGAGGAATAGCCTTAATATTAAGGGCGTTAAATAGAAGGAAGAAATCCTTAAAACGTTAAATAATAACGCCCTTAATATAATTAGCTTCTATTCGCTTATTTAAAAGGGTTATAATAAAGGGATTTCGCTATTTAAAGCCTTCTATCTAATACTTCTTAAGGGGAATATCGTCCCCTTAAGCGAGGAGGATCTAGTATATAAAATCGAGGATTTAAGAATATAAAAGGGCGAACCCTAAAGCGCCTTATTTAACGATCTAACGAGCTAAATACTATTCCTAAACTTAACTAAGCCTCTAATAAAGAGCCTTTACTTTATAGATCGTTATTACGCCCTTAAATCTCCCTCGAAGCGTTATAGTAAGAACGTTCTAGTTATATAAGGCCTTATATATCGAGTAGCTATTACTAATAGCCTAAAGCGCATTTAAAACGTCTTCTTTAATATAGCTCTTTATTCTAAATCTAATAATATAGTTAGCGTAATTATTAGACGAGGGGTAGGTAAGATATCGCGATATACGTACTATTAGGAGGGCGATTTTCGGGTATTAAAAGTGGGTAGAATTGGTGCGCGGAGTTAGGGGGGCGCAGAGTTGGGGGTGTGGGACTTATACATCGACCTCGGCGTCGAACTCTCAGTCTGAACAACTTCATCGTGAAACTCAACCTACGTTCCTTCCTGGACGCGTCCAACTGACTGAGACGCGTCGAGTCTCTCGCCAATTCCCATCGTCATTCAACTAATAATGGCGTCGACGCGCGAGCCAAAGGCTACTCCAGCCACTTCAACACACTCAAGAAAGCACATCAAGACAGGCCAGCATACTCTTGACACCTTCTTCGCCGCGCGCCCAGCAGGGGCACTGAACACAACCTCACCCAAAAAGCTACGCCCTTCTTTTCAGCCGACTACCATCGAGCCACAGACGCCGACGTCATCTACTTTTGAGATTGTCCTCGGCTCGTCAACCCCTAAGCAGAGAGCGACCGCTCCCTTCGGCGCCCCGCACGCAGCTGGCGGCGACGACGACATCACATCAGACCTCTCACCACAATTTCGCCGCCTGGCAGCACAAGCCGCCCAACCCGTGAGCCTCAGCAAGCCGGCCTCGCCAGCGGTCAGCAAGATCAGCAATCATGCACCTGTCGCAAGATCATCGCCGGAAGCAGAAACAGCAACAGCAGCAGCAGCAGCAGCAGCAGCAGGTCCGTCCTCCAGACAGAAGCGCAGGCGCGGCCGCCCAAAAGGCTATCGTCCCAGTCTCGGCCGCATCGTCGGCGAAGACGAGGCCGACGCGCTCCAACCCAACGCCCGCCAAACCCGCACGCCAAAAGCGGTGAGCTACTACACGGGCAAGCGGCGCGGCCGGCCGCCCAAGGCAGAGGCCCCGGGGCCGCGTGAGGTGTACGAGACGCTCGCGCCGCGGTTTCTACGGTTCGTGTGCGAGTGGGCCGGGTGCAGCGCCGAGCTGCACAACTTTGAGACGCTGCGGCGGCATGTGAGCGTCGTGCACGCGCCGACGGGACGGCAGAAGGTCTGTCAGTGGGCGCGGTGCAGGCAAGGCAGGCGCGAGTTTGCGACGGCGGAGGAGATGCGCGCGCACTTGGAGGAGGTGCACATGCCGCCCATCGTGTGGCAGGCGGGCGAGGGCCCGGTTATCACGGCGAAAAAGTACATTGTGGATGATGCCACTGGGGAGTTGCCGCGATATCTCTTTGACAAGACGGGCGTGCAGGTGACGCCATCGGTCAGGGATCAACAGCTGGAAGATATCCCGACGTATAGGGCGAACAGGAAGAAGCTCAGGATGCTCCTGCTGCTACGCGACCAGAACCTCACTAGTGAGGTCGAGAGTGGGGAGGACGGTGAACTCGAGGGTCCAGTGGCATGAACGGAGGCCGACTGGGTAACAGTGTGATCCTGATCCGGATGAGAAAAAAAAAGATGGTGTTTGTGCTGCGCCTCAACCGGAACATTCGGCGACGTGGATCTCAATACGGGCGTCGAGTGTCAGGTTTAACCAGATCACCATCTTACACGACCAGGGCCGGCGGTAGGCCGACTATAGCGTTTCCAATATACCCGCCGCATTTTCGTTTTGCATTTTTGGGAGCAACAAGGCCCTGCAAAGCCCTGGGAAGCAACGAAACCCACCAAGTGTAGGTTCGAGGGCCACACCACGAGCGTTCAGTGTGGAGATGCTCGGTACATGTACAGTAGACACTTGAGTTCAACAGCGTCACGGCGGAAGTCGTTGTGATTCGTCTTGTGCTGCATCGTGGTCCCACCTACAAAGAGCTTCCCCATAGCTGTGACACTCGACGCCAGGTTCTGACATCATCCGTCAGGGCTTTTTCTTGTGGGGAGCAGCACGTAGGTCAGTCAGTATGCATAAGCCTTCGGACGCATCGTAACGCAGGAGGAGCTGGGATAGTGGGGGGAGATGCACTGTTGCTACTGCATGACTCCATCGGCAAGGAAGCTGAGGCACCACGACAAAGGCACCGCGCAAAGGCATCGCGGTCCTCTGGCCAGCTCTGGTTCGAAATCAGCCAATGGGGGTCGACAAGGCACCAGGATGAGAGGAGTCAAGCAGCCGAAAGAGCCCAGAACCGGACCTGGTGGATTTCTAAGCTCTCCGCCAAAAAGGAGGGGGGAGGGGCGGCGTCGGTCCGGTTGAGCGAACGAGCGAGTGTAAAAGCGGAAAGGGGCGATCGAACTTTGGGCGGGGAGGGAAATGCTGTTGGAGAGCATGCGTGGGGACACAGCCAGACAGCCCAGGCAGGTTGTTCGCCCGCCAGCCGGCCAACACAGACGGCGAGATAGGTACTTTTCGGTTGTGGCAATGGTTGCGCACGCAGGCGTACTCGTCCAGACAGTAATTTTCCTCTCCTCTCTCGAGCAGACTCTGATTGCCATGTCTTGCTGCCTGCCCGATTCTACCTGGCGGTGTTCCACAGGTGAGCGAAGAAAGGGGACGCCAGCCCAGGCAGATAATAAGTACCTAATGACTGGACCGATGGAGTAATTGCCGGCGATTTCGCTGTCTCGCATGCTGCGGCCTTAAACATGGAATATGTAGCATCCGAGGTGTGTCAAAGAAGCAAGCAGCGGCCAGCCGCTCATTCCAGCAAGGGCCTTGAATGTTGATGATGAAGTTCACACTCCAACCTCGAATGCCAAAGGCAGGCCACAGTGTTAAAGTATTATACTGTTGGGACAGTCCGGGCCCGCGGTGAGCATGAGCATTCGAGATCCGACGAGGTAAGAAGAATTTGGGTTGCATCTAGCAGTGCACGCTCGGGGCGGCTTGGTTCCTTCTCAGTGCGACGAAATGCTGCACGGAAGGCCGCGGTGCCCGCCACTGATCCACCATTAGGGGTGTTGGGGGTGCTGGGGGTGCTAGGGGCTTCCATGGCTGGGGGTTGCTGGACACCGCAATCAATCCCGGCTTGTCAGGTCACTCTTCGCTCTGTGATTAAAGACCTACCTGGTAGGTAGGAGGCACCTGGTAGAGGGGGGAAGGAAAAGCCGCACCAGGCATGCCCGCTATAGGTAGGCAACGCCTGGCCTGTCCTGTCCGCCTTGGGTAGCACACACACGCGCCTGCCACCCCCATTCCATCGACCCCCCCATGCACGCTCATCTGGCCACTGGGTTGGATCCGTAAGCCGGCCTGCCCATCCTGCCTATCCTCCTGCACCTGCTGCTGCGACTCCCGCCATCCGCCATCCGCCATCGCCGGCTCTCGACCTCGCCGTTCCCCAAACTGTCCTCTCACCAACACCAGGCCTCATCAACCTGCTCCGCCAACCCTACATTTGCACCCTCCCTCGAGCCATGGCAGCCCTGGTCGCATGACCGTCACAACACCGAGATGCCTGCCTCCAAACCCCAGAATGGGAGCACGACCAACCAATTCAACCAGAGGCTGAAGAACCTCTTTCGGATCAACGCCAATGGCGCCGGCAAAGATAGCGAGAAGTCAAAAGACAAGGACGCCGACAAGACGTTTGCTCAAGAAAGCCCTCCCGCCAAACCCGAGAAGTCATCCATCCGTAACACGTCGTTCTTCAAAACCACCGTCGGTCGCCTAAGAACCAACACTTCCGCCAGCGAGGGCAACCCGCTCGATGAGGCCCTCAGTCCGACAGCCCACGCGAACCCCTACTTTGCCCACCAAGGCCAGCCTGGCCTGCGTCACCACAATGAGGGCTCCGTGCCACCGAGCCCGCCTGACACACCGAGCTTCAAGGCCGAATCGACCAACGGCGGCCCCGACAAGCACGCCACAAACGCAGGCCGGGAAGAGCTGGCGAGGAAGCTTAGAAGGGTCGCCAGCGCCCCGAACGCCCAGGGTCTCTTCTCCAAGGCTGCCAAGGGAAAGGGCAGCGACGAGCGTCCCGCCACGGCCGAGCTAGGCAAAGACCCGGTTGTCGTTCACAAGGACTCTGGTACTCTCGAGCTTGTCAACTCGTCCGACCTCAAGGCCGTCTCCACCGTCGGCAGCACCTCGACATCATCCAACCCAGATAAGGACGTTCTCGCCGGCCTGCCGCCGCCGAACAGGACCGCGCTAGCATTCAGGCGGACGTACAGCTCCAACTCGATCAAGGTCCGCGACGTTGAGGTTGGGCCTCAGAGCTTTGATAAGATAAAGCTCATCGGCAAGGGAGATGTGGGCAAGGTCTACCTGGTGCGGGAGAAGAAGAGCACGCGGTTGTATGCTATGAAAGGTGCGTCTGCCGTCATGTTTGGCTCGGTGGTCATTGCTAATAACCCGTCCAGTCCTGAGCAAGAAGGAGATGATCAAGCGCAACAAGATCAAGCGAGCCCTTGCCGAGCAGGAGATTCTGGCTACGAGTAACCACCCCTTCATCGTTACTCTATACCATTCCTTCCAGTCGGAGGACTACCTCTACCTGTGCATGGAATACTGCAGCGGTGGAGAGTTCTTCCGTGCGCTGCAGACACGGCCAGGCAAATGCATTCCTGAGGAGGATGCCCGGTTCTACGCTGCTGAGGTTACGGCTGCTCTAGAGTACCTTCATTTGATGGGGTTCATCTACCGCGACTTGAAGCCAGAGAGTAAGTGAGGTTCTTCTCCGTCGTCAGACCGCTTCTGACGTATCTAGACATTCTCCTCCACCAGTCGGGTCATATCATGCTGTCAGACTTCGATTTGTCCAAGCAGTCTGATCCTGGCGGTAAGCCGACCATGATCATTGGAAAGAATGGCAGTACCAAAGAAGCGTCTCTCCACATTGACACGAGATCATGCATCGCCAACTTCCGCACCAACTCCTTCGTGGGTACGGAGGAGTACATCGCGCCAGAGGTGATCAAGGGCAGCGGCCACACGAGTGCGGTGGATTGGTGGACGCTAGGTATTCTCATTTATGAGATGCTTTACGGCACAACGCCCTTCAAGGGAAAGAACAGGAATGGGACGTTCGCCAATATCCTTAGGGAGGATATCCCGTTCCCAGACACGGCTGGCACGCCGCAAATTTCCACGTAAGTCCGCCCAGCGAAAGGAGAGACCAGCCAATCACTAACGCCCGTAAAGTCTTTGCAAGTCTTTGATCCGGAAGCTATTGATCAAGGACGAAAACCGAAGACTCGGCGCCAAAGCTGGCGCTTCTGACATCAAGGCGCACCAGTTCTTCCGCACCACACAATGGGCCTTGATTCGACACATGAAGCCTCCTATTGTACCCAATCAGGGCCGCGGTATTGACACGGTCAATTTCCGCAACGTCAAGGAAAGCGAGAGTGTCGATTTTGGCAGGTCTCGGCCGATGAACCTCAAGGGGGTTCCTTTGGACAGTGGGTTGGCAACACCTGGCGAGCCTGTTGTAGACCCCTTCGAGGAGTTCAACAGCGTCACCTTGCACCATGACGGAGACGATGACCATCATCACCAAGGCCATCACCACCAACGGTAGTCAATTGGCTTGGGGCTTTTCATGTCTTGAGGGTGGAAGCATGTGCTTCCGCACGCCATGCTATGCTGCACTACATCACTGGAGCAGTACACTGCCTCTTGGACCTAGGACTCGCAACATGGACGAACCCGCTTGCGAAACCACAACACATGCCCACGCGCGCGCACGTACACGCACATGATGGCACGCACCAAAGTGTCATCAACTCTCATAAACGCCTGTAAGAGGCTGAACATATATGGAAGGAAGAATGGAAAGGGGAGGGCGTGCGGAGGACGGTGAATTTCGGATGTCTCTGTGACCAAGTCCATTCTGGTCGCATCACGGGTCGACTGATTATCTTGGCTTCTTATTGCGCTCAAAACAACATGCTTGCGTCTTGGGAGTTATGACCGGCCTGGCGTTATAGGGAAAGAAAGGGAACATATGCCAATTATTTTCCAGCTGCTGTCACTGTAACTGCTATGGATCACTCTACCTGCATATTAGCGAAGTGTCGAAGTCTCGAACCACTGCTCGGTCGACAGTGTGGATGCCGACGTCATTTCATACTGACCCCATGAAAAGACGACAAGATTTGAGCTGGGAGGATCTGCTGGTCCTGTTCAATTTGGTGACGGACGAGTAAGACGTTTGGGTCACGAGACGGAGCACTTCACGGAGCAAAATACCAAAACATACAACACCGAGGATTCGCTGGTGGTCACCCACCCAACTACTAGTTCGGCCCTTACTGGTTTATCAAAGGGAGAGCGGACGGGATCCCGAGTTTTCCAGTAGGTTTGGTCGTATGTGGTGGAGGGACCATTGTGGCAAGTTGATGTTGCATGATGAGGTATGACCAGTGATCCAATCCAAACCTGATTCATATGAAGCGCTCAGTCAGTGATCGACTTACGAGCGGTATCCTTCTAATATCTGGCTTGACGGCACTTCAATGGATGAAATTCCCTCTGCTCCCGAATATCATGCTGTTCAATAGTGCATTGTTAACCAACATGAGGTCAAGCCGCAACCGATGTCGTCGTTTAAGGTAGGTACCTAAGGTAAGGTACCTGACGTGAAGGTGATTGTATCATTGGATTGGTTGAGTCTTGTCATTGGTCGATGTGCCACTGCGGGGAGCGCCTACCATGTACATGTACCTAAGTACAGTAACCTACCCAGTTACATCAACCGCGGGGTCCACGCCAAACTTCCCTGTGCAGCGCGTTCCTGAGCAGCCCATCGCGTTCAAAGCCACCCTTCCCAGGCCGACCGCTCCGACTTGCGCCATGGAACAGTCCCGCGACGCCCACCTGCTGGCGCAGCAGCCCGATCTCTCGCCCCTGGAACAGGAGGTCCTGGAAGAATATGAGCGGCTAGCGGAGAATATGAAAAAGGTACCGCCCCTCCTGCTCTGGAAGAACGTGGCGGAGAAGACAGTCTGCTGACCATGTTCTGATGCGAATAGCTGGCATCCGCACTGGACAATATGAGCGGTCTGCCGAGCACCGAGATCCTCGACGGGCTGAGGGAGCTGGAGCGCAAGACGAGCCTGGTGTTCACGCTGTTGAAGGCGAGCGTGTACAGCATTGTGCTGCAGCAGGAGATTGATTGGGGCGGCCAGCACGAGGAGAACTAGAACGGTGGGACTACAGCTGGATTGCAGCTCGGAACCCATCACGCAAGCTCTGCGGCAAGATCAAGGCGGAGCATCACGATAAGCGACACATGGAGCAGCGGTGTAGGACGGACAGAACACGATACCCAGGCAGAGATGAAGACACGAGACGAATCAGATATGACACTGGGGAGAGATCTAGCTGCGTCGCTGGCAATGTACAGTGTTGATACAACAATCCAACGAGAATTACGAACTCCCCTTCTTTTAATACACAGATCCACCGTAGTAGACCTTTCTCACATCCACCAGCTTCTTCCCCCGCCCGATGGCGATCTGCTCCGGGTCGGGCTGGTTCGTCAGCGCCTCGAACGCCGCCTTGACGGTGTTCATGGGGTTTTTGGATCGCGGAATGTTGCCCGCCAGGTCGTGAATGCCAGCAAGGCGAGCCATCTCGAAGAGACGATGCGACACGCGGAGGCCGAACCCTGTGAGAATGTGTTAGCTGGGCCATCGATGGGAGGTGGACAGACGGATCAGAGGCTGTGAGCACATACCAGGAGGACGGGCCTCGAGCTTCACGACTGTGCCGGAAATCTTCTTCTCCACTGTGCCGAAGATGGTGCGGTTCTCGTATCGCCGGATAGGCCTCATGTTGCGCAGCGCCAACAGCTTGGCAGTGACAGTAGCGATCAGAGCATCCGTGGACCTGGCCATGCCCAATCCTAGTCGGCCGTTCGAATTGCCAGCCACGACCATGACGCTATAGCTCCGGATCTTGCCGAGACGCGTCTGGTTGGAGACACTGCGAGAAACCAGCTTCTTGGTCAGGATGCTGAGAACCTCCTTCATCTGAAAGTTCAACGCCTTCTTGACGTCTCCGTACTGGCCGGACGAGTCGAGACCCTGATCCTCGGGATCCTCGACGTCTTTGTACTGACCCTTCACGCCCTCAACTTTGCCCAGCTCGGGTGCCAACGCTGAGCTGCCGACCTCGTTGTCGATCGCCTTCCACACCTTGAGCCTGTCCGTCTCCACAAGTGGGCTGGCGTCTTTTGCAAACTCGGCCTCGAGTTCCTCGTAGAACGTCTCATCAATCTTGTCCCACCACTCCTCGCCCGGGATCACGGCGTTGGGATTCGCCTTACGCTCGGCTTGGGCGCTCGCCCAGAGCCCATCGTCCGACTCCTCGATGATGTACTTTCGCCTGAGCTCGGGGTTGTTCTCGAGCTCGACGAGCTCCTCCTCCGTAAAGTCGATCTTGTCAGGGTTGGTCTGCTTGACCTTGCGCAGCGCCCGCGCGACGGCCTTGCCGATGGTATCCTGCATCTTGGTCTCGGCATGGTCGGCGAGTGTGTTGATGTACTTGTCCACCCACTCCTTCTTGGCGAGGAACTCGGCCTCCCGCGGGACGATGGGCTGTTTTGGCTTGGCATCGATGACGGGCTGCACGGTCGCGAAGTCCTCGAGGTACTCGAAGCGGTAGGGATCGTTTCGTATCCGGCCCTGCAGGGTCAAGTCCTTTGGGTCGATGGCGGCCTCGCCAGCCTCGAGAGCCTCGAACTGCTCCGGGGTGTACTTCTCGCGAAGAAACTCCTTCTCCTGCTCGGTGTAGTCCGGGAAATGCTGGGCGGCGAAGGCCTTCGTGGCGGAGGGCTTTGTCAGGCCTAGCTCGGATGCCTTGATGTTCTTGAATCGTGACCTCTTCTTGAGCTTCGCGGCGGAGGTCTGAAAGGAGCGGCAAGGGGCAGAGGAGCCTGTCTGGGCGGACTGTCGTAGGCACCGCGAGAGGAGACCCGGTGTAGGGCGTGCCGCGTTCATGGCTGCTGGATGTCTGAGGCTCACGCCTACTCAGATTTGGCAGCAATTGGACGTAGTCGTCGGGTGTGGATTCGAGATGTCGGCGAGCAGGAGGTGCATGCAGCTTGATGTCGCGCGACACTCGAATTGGACAATTTTTTGGACCACGATGGAGATCCACAGAGCTCTGTGTTCTACACTGTCCATTGGCTGCGTCAAGTCCATACACGAAGTCACATGATTGGGCACTCTTCGCTTATCTAAGCAAGATCCACCTGCCGCCCAGGTGGTTTAGACCGGGTCAGCCCCTCTCAGTAACTGCCCAGTAACTGAATGTACCGATTGGCATCCAAGCTCCCATGTGACCAGGCGAACTTAACCCAGATGAACCTGAAGGAGCACTCTACAGCCTTCTCTTCCTCATGTCACAGCGAACATCCTCACAGCCATGTGCGCCGTTCATCGAGCCACCGGGCCAGTCCTTGGGGGGAATCAGTCGACTCTGGCGCAACTGTGAAACACAGACCAAACCCCTTTACTGACTGCCCCCCAGAGATGGGGGAACACGGCACCCACGTCGCGCCTCCGCTGGGCTGCTCGCTCCACGCTGTGCACTGGTCGCCAGGGCCTGGTCCAGAGCTTGGTCCGTACTAAGCCCTGGCGTCGTGCGAGTACGATCTGACGTCTCCCGTTTCAAGACCCATCGCCGAGTGGCTTCTCTTCCTTCTCTACTTGTCTTTCCGAGATCAACTCCAACCACCTTTTCGTACGCGTTCATTCTCTGTCGTTTCCTGCCCGTTCGGCAACCAGCCAGTTCGCATCGTCCATTTCTTCATCCGGTGACTGGCGCACTCGATACTCGATACCCCATCCAAAGTCCTCGTTCTCTTGACCGTCTATACCTTTGTAATACACTCTTGCGCCGATAAACGCTTGCCGGGGCAAACGTCGATATCTCCCAGTACTACAGTCTGCCTGCGATCGCGCAAGGAAAAACCATCGACGGTTGGGAACGCTCGGTCGCCAGTAAACCCATACTCAGCACATAGCAACGCCCATCCATAATCGCCAACCATGAGCGGCCAATTTGGTTTCATGAAGTCCATTGGGGCCAGCGACGAAGCTGTGGCCACCCTGAACGACCAGCCGGTGCTTTTTACGATCCTCGTTGTTGTTCTTGTCGGTATCATCGCGCAGTGCCTTCTCATCTGGTACATCCACTTCGCCACCTTGAAGCCAGAACAAAGGAAGAAGAAGGAGAAGAAACCGGCGGGGAGGAAATGAGGGTGGTAGTGGCGCTTTACGATAAGAGCGGACAATCATCGGACTCTGTTGTTGCAGAGGACCATTATCAACCCTGCTCGAATAGCGAATTTGGATATATGCTGTTTCTTGGGAGTCGAGTCTGCGGCATGCCGGGCATGAAGGCGCGGCTTCTGTACAAATTCTTCGTCGCCGCGCTCCAGAGATCACAACTTGGTTTGACGGCAATGTGCGGCAAGAAGCATTATTTCTATCTGTAGACTTTTACCACTCGAATTCAGAATGATCATTCATGTCCCATGCGTCCCACATGTCTTCATCTTCGTCTTCACATGCTGGCTGTCCTGTCCACTCCCCAAGACCGTGCAAGCCACCCGTAATGGAGGGGAGGGGTGGCATCCTGTAGGCCACCGGCCGGTCGTCAGTGTCGTGTTTGAGTTCATCCAGCCAGGGCTGGTCAGAGATGACAAGGCGTCCTCCAGAGTGTTGAATGAACCCTTGCGCAGATCTCGACGCCGGATCGTCCTCCCACTTGCCGTCCTCATCCCAGGAGTCTTCCCTCATGGGACTTCTGGCCCTGTCAAATTCGTCAAACCGTTCATTAGGGCACGGCTGTGACCTCTGAGTTGTACCATGAACCTCAGAACTCGAGTGGAAAGTGTCGCCACACTCAAAGCTGCTTGAGTCCTTATCCCAGTCGGACCACTGTACGTCCCTGTGCTCAAGTTCTGTGGTAGTAGGAAGATATGTGTCGGTTAAGTCAGGAAATGCATGTTCTGCATGACCACTCGAATAATCAACTTCATCTTGAGGTGGTTCTTGCCATGTTTGCGAGGTGTCACTGAGTCTGTCATCCCAATCGCTCCATGAGTCTGCTCCCAAAACACCAGATACTCGACCATCGTGACTCGTGGAGGACTCCATGATATACTGCTCATGCTTTGAGGTGCTCTCTGGGACTTCGCGTACTACTGAACTTTTGTTGGGCACGCCATGCTTCGTAGAGGCATTTGACTCGATTGAGGCAAACATGGCATCCATGCTTCTTTTGCAGATCTGCTTTGCGGTATTGCTCTTCGTTTGTACCATACGTGGTGCTTTCGACTTGCTGATGATTAGCTTCCATAGCAGTTTCTGTAACTCTGAAGTATTTCTTAAAGCTTTTCTACTGGTTTCGACGGCGACTTTGTTGCTCAAATTCACTGGCTGTGCCCACCCAACTCCAGCCATGGCCGACGCAATGGAGGGTAATAGCTTGGATCTGTGTGCGACTGCCTATATCGTGTTAGCTGCGTCTGGCTGGCTGTACTAATTTCAGACGCACAGCCAGGTAATCCATGTGAAAGACCGCAGGGACTAATGTCGTCAACGGTATCGGCATGCCCTGTCTTGCTAGTTTGATTCCTTTCGAACTCTTACGCTGTCCTGTGACGAGCGCCATAGTGCCGACTTCTACAAGTCTTTCTAGGGATGACTTGCCCAGAAGCCGTTCCAGTACTTGAACAGTGGTGAGGTGGCTAGAACCGACATGCCCTGAAGGGGGTATCTAACCGCCGAGTTCATCGTCTTGTTCTGTCGACTGGCACACTAAAGCTGGAACCTTGCTTGCGAGCTCTTCCTTCTTCTTTCGTGAGGCCGGCATAGAGGCCCGCGAGATTCTGTGGAACTCTTCGTCAGAATTGCGCTCGAAGTCAAGGAAACAAATTAGTCGTTCAAAGCCGGCAACTTGAGGGCCTGCCGGGGGCAAAAGGCTTGAATGAAGACTAGGGTGATGAAGACGAAACATGGCAACATTTGATGGGAGGTCAACGTCAGTGTCGCGGGCAAGGCGCACGCCAAGTTGGCTCCAAAGCTGTGCCATGTCAGAGGTGGCCGATTGCGATCTCGAGGGCAAACATACGGCGAGATGCCCGAATACCGAGGCCGCTCTTTCCAGAACTGCTGCCAGAACATGTCTCTCGTCGCTTTTCACATGAATGTTGGTGTGCAACTCAAGCCTACAGGCACCCGTTCGTGCAACCCACAGGCTACCTTGGCAGACCAAATCCTTCAGGGCTGCTGAGGTGGGTATGGCCGGACAACCAACAGGAAGATCAAGGATCATGACGGATCGGATCTTGAGACGCCAAATGTCATATTCGTCGAATAGCAAGAATGGCTCAAGCGGTATTGGAACAGGAGCCATGAGGAACGGCTTGCTAAGGTTGTTGGAGTGAGCTAGGTCATTTCCGCTTGTTCGTGCCCCCCGAAGACAGTTACGGCCGAGGTGACTCTGCGCTGCTGCGTAGGTAAGGTAGGTAGGTAGTATTTCACAAACGAAGCGACCTCCCTGTTGCTATCCTTCTTTGTGTCAAGACGGTGATTTTGTCAACTGTTGCACTTGCTGGGAGGAAGGGGCGCCCGACTGCCAAGCCACGCGACGTGGGCACAGTGTTAGGACATGGCTTGTCACCCATGTTTGGTGGAGTTAATTATGTGTCTACAGTGCACAACCCGCTTGCTCGGCATGTGTGGATCGGTAATGCCAATGCTCCCTGCTTTATGACTTCACTCCTCGCGGTCACCTGGATCGTCTCACTGGCACCATCACCAATTACCAGCGTTTCTTTCTGTATCATCAGCTCAGACGCGGCCTTGGCTCAACACCCTTTTTGTGTCTCCGGGTGCAGGTCCTACTCAGTCCTTATCTGCCTGCGACCGGCACGATCAACCTGCACGTCTGATCTGATCGGCAAGTCCAGATACCCACCCACTACTCGAACCTGGTGACCCGACGATCAACTACCACGCCTTGGGTATCGCACAACAACAGAAGGGCATGAGATCATGCCTCTTGCAAACGTGGGCTCGCTGGTCCTTTGGCACGTCATTTTCTTGACCCATCTCGTACATATCAGCCTCTTCTTTCGATACACGGAACCCGAGTTCTTGATCCCTCTTTACATTGTCGTCAAGGTCCTGGGTTATAGACCGGATAATCTAGATGCTCCAGCGCAAGCATGGCCCCCCCACGTACCGAAGTGGTACAACATGTAGCTTCAAACGGCTACGAATCACCCGACGAGAACAATCTGCCCCTTTTATTCAGTGTCCCCCCTCCAGCCAAACCGGCCACCTCGTCACCTGTTACTGATGCTGCCTCCAAACAATCTGGCTCTGCTCACGAGCCGTCTGAAGCCGTTGCAAGGCGTGCACCGGCCTCGCCGTCTGGCCCAAGGTCCCGCCCAACGCTTGCATCTTCTCATGGCTCTAGTCTCAACGGGATACTAGCAACCGCCGCGACGAAGCCAAATGGCAAGGTCAGCCTCCGAGATCGAATCGCATGTCATCAATGGACATGGTTCGCCATGGTAAGTCTTTCCCCAATAGCTCTGCAACCACTGCTGACGGTGAAAAATAGACAATGGTAGACGCCTCATGGATAGCTTCGTTGACTTGGACTGATCATTGCAACCACAGGCTACCGGTGGCATTGCTAGCGTTCTGCACTCGCGTAGGTTACTTGTCAAGCGGCCTCAAAGGGAGCACTCGTTGACCGTTGGCGCAGTGTCATATCGAAGCGCTTGGCTGGATGGAGTTGGCATTGCCTTCTTCATATTCAACATTCTCCTCTTCATAACAAATTGTGGTCTTCTGTTGGCCCGCTTCCGTCTGCGACCAGGTTCTTTCATGAACTCATTTACTGATCAGATGGAGTCTCTATTTATACCATCATTTGTGGGTATCAGCATTGCTTCAGTGCCTTATGGAGGCTGACGATCCCAGTTTGTCTCGTGCGTGCCTCGCTCCCTCTTCCCAACGATCTCTAACCTCTCAGTATTACCGGAATCATGATAAACACTTGCCAATATGGAGTTCCCCACACCGGCCCTTGGTTACTTCGAACCATGGAGGTCATGTTCTGGATCAACCTGGCACTCAGTGTCATGGTTAGTGCTACGATCTACCTGATTCTCTGGTCCACCTTGTGAGTTCGGAATTTTCCAGCCGGAGCCCTTGTCTGACGGGAGGTCCAGAATTTTTCCTATTCACATGATGACACCGGTCTGGGTGTTTCCGGCTTACCCATTGCTTCTCAACGCCCCCTTTGCTGGAAATCTCATTGCTTCTGCCGTGTCGTCGGGCCAAGGGCTCACCGTTAACACAACAGCCGTTGCACTGAGCGCCATTGCGGCGCAAGGAGCAGGTTGTCTTATCGCTTTCATGATTTCATCGGCCTTCATCTACAGATTGATGACCCAGAAACTGCCTAGAGATGCGCAGCGGCCTGGTGTCGTAGGTGCCACCCCGTAGTGCGTGAAAGATTCGAATTAGCTAACAGTGCCGTAGTTCATCTCGATCGGACCATACGCTTTTACTGTTGCAGGGATTGGTTTGTTATTATGGGTTCCGAAAGCCCGCTTCCTTGACTGACGCCTTGCAGTTCAGATATCGAGTCAAGCAGAGGTGGTGTTGCCTCAGAACTTTATGGGCACTGATCAAGCTGTGCCGATAGTCAAAATCATGGCTGTCATGATTGGCCTTTGGCTGTGGGGTCTTTCTATGTGGTTCTTCCTCGTATCAGTTGGTTCATTGTGGAAATATGCCAAGCCGGACAGGACAATGCCTTTTCACATGACATGGTGGTCGTTTGTGTTTCCGAATACTGCCTTGATTACAGCCACGGAGGCGATGGCGAAGGCGTTTGAGAACGGGGGGCTCATGATCTTGTCCTGCGTCATGACGGGGTGCTTGATAGTTGTCTGGGCGGCGATCTTTGTGACCATGCTCGTGTGCCTGAAGCAACGAAAGTTGCTGTGGCCCAAAGATGATAAATAGAGGGCATAACAGCAAGTTCCCGCCCAATTTGATTGACCTAATGGCAAGTATGATCAGGAGTTAATATTCATATTCTATTATTCCAAAGACATGCCTTCGAAGGCTTGTGTGCACGATTACACACCGTGCCATTATTCTGACAGTGCCTGTGATTTGAGAAGAGGATGGGCCTCTGGACGGCGACCCTTCCGATGGACTCGGCTTTGTCGCACGGTCGAGTTCATCTACAGCGCCGCTGCCAGCGAGCCACAGCGGCTGGACCCGCTAATGAACCGGCCATGTGTCCACCTCCACCCCAACACCATCAACGACCGTCCAGGATTCGCCGCATTCACGTAGAGAACGTCTACAGCACACAGGCGAAACACACAACCAGAGACGACCTCTTCAGCTTGTTTCGCGGACACTGAAAAGAGAATTTGAGTCGCAGGTCACTCGGTCGACAGACATGTCGTGGGACTCAAAGTCGGGGCAGCATCGCCGCCAAAAGAGCTCCGTCTCTCAGAAGAACCTCCCTCTTCTCACAAGACAGCAGGCGAAGCCCGTCTTCCAGCCCAAATCTAGCCACGTCGAGGATAGCTTCCTACAAGACTTTCTCGACCCATCATTCGACCCGGCTGTCTTTCTCAACACCACTCTACCCTCGCTCCAGCATGGCTCGACCTCTAAGGGTACCGACCGGGCGGTACCGCTCGCCGACCTCTCAAATGAGACGCAGACGCTGCTCTCGCAACTCAATGCACACACGGTCCGCCTATCGACAACGCTCACCCAGCTGACCGACGACATTCTTCGGAGCGGAAGCCGTCTCGCCTACCAAGTCGAGCTCCTCCGCGGCGAAACGCTCAGCTTCGCCGAGACGATGAATGAGACGCTCCAGCCCGACATTCAAAAGTTCCTGCCCGAAGGCCTGCCCGACGCAAGCAAGGAGGGCGCAGACGTGAGAAGACGTCCTTCAGCCGCCTCGACGACGCCCGCGCCCGACGAGGAAGCGTCCGTGAGCGCAGAGGCGGCGTCGCTCCCCCACGAGCCTACGCACGTGAAGCAGCTGCGGACGCTGACGCTCGTGCGGTCGCGGCTGGATTCCGTCATCAAGACGTTTGGCGACGCCATGGAGTTTGTCTTTCCGCCGTCTGAGCTCTCTGCGGCGTCGGGCTTCTTGTCTGTCTCGGCGCCGGAGCCTGGCACGGGAAGCTTCAGCAGCGGGGGTGGGGAGCAGCAGAACACGGAGGAGAAGGGCCAGCAGGTGCTCAAGAAGCTGCGGGAGGAGGTTGCTGATCTTCTCAAGGGAGATGACGCCATTGCTGGTATCGAGAAGGCGGCAGAGCGGGTGGAGGAGCTGAAGGACTTGACGATGGTGTGGAAGGGCACGGCGGAGGAGAACGGCCGCGTAAGGTTCATCGAGGGACTGGCCAAGATGGTGGAGGAGCGACACCGAGAGCTGTTGAGGGAGGCAGAGGACACTGCGAAGAGGGAGGCCGGTGAGGGGAACAGGCCGAGGAAGGGAAGTGTGAAGGCCAAGGCAGAGGAGGCGAAGACGATCCTCGGAGGTTACGGCTTGATGAGCCAGCTCCAAAAGCTGCGAAGTGGACTGTAGTGAGCGCTGAACTGGTCATATCTTTGTAACATCAGGCAAAATATCAATGACATGAGTTGTCCCAACACATGGTTCGTTGCTGAGCTGCTTGGGCTGACGATTCATTAATGTACTACCGTCGGTGGGTTTTTTCCTGCACTAAATACTCATACCCGAATCCAGGGTTGTCCGAAAGAACGTAGACCTCAAGCAGTGCATTCATCAACTTGCGTGTAATCTGTTTTGCTTGTACTATATTTTCGTAGACTTCAACTCCTTTGGTTTCCATGTCATACCTAAGGTACCTAGGTACCTTACACAGGACGCTGAGCTAATGCATAGCGTTGTGCATTGGTGCACAAAGCAAGGCTCCTCGCCATTGGCCCGTCACTGTTGAGTTTGGACCCTCTCCATTGGTCGGAAATGGATCGGCCTGTGCAGCCATCAAGTCCCCTGGCCACAAGCGCACTCGCAGAAGCAAGGCTGAATTGAGGACCAACACCACCAGACCGTCCAGCGTCCCGCCTGACCCAGCTCCTTCCCATTCTCTACCCTCCAGTGTCCTTACACCCTCCCACCCATACCGGCAGCGCACAATTCAACTTGTCAACCTACGCCGACGCAGGAGCTGAACCGCCCGAATGGCTGCCAACGAGTCGACGGCGGCCGCTGGTCCGTCCAAACGGGAGAGAAAGCGTCTCTTCATCACCGAGAAACTAGCCTTCCTGAACGAAAAGTTCCACCGTGAGCGCGACCTCACCTACCGAGACCAGCTGCAGAAGATACAAGTCGACAACACTCTCGTCCAGCGCCTAGACCCATATGCCTCTGACGCACTCGAGGTCATCGCCAGCGCTCGTCGTGATCATGCCGAGGCGCAGACCCCCGAGACCTTGCCGGAGAACACCCGCACACTCCTGCACATGTCGGGCCCAAGGTTTCAGGATTTCCTCCAGGAAGTTGAGGACCTGATCGAGTATCGTGACTCGAGCGTTGCGCAGCAAAAGGTTTGACTGCACCAATTATTCTCATCGTCGTCTCGTTTTTTCTGACCCGGTTCTCTCTCAGCACGAGCATGACCGCCGTCTCCACCAGTACCAGAATGAGCACCTCTACAAGATCGAAGCTGCCAACCGCGAGCACCGGGCGCTAGCCGACACCCTCCGTGACCGACTCATCAACACTGTCTCCTCTCGTAAATACCGCCTCCAGAAAGAAAAGGAAGCGCTCGAGATCTCCGACTCGTCTGCTCTCCTTCTCCATCCCAACCAATTCAGCATTACAAACCCTGCAAGTCCTGGCGGCACCCACAAGCGAGCAACCCGACTGCGCAAGGATGCCGAAGACATCCCCGGATACTCCGAGGGCAAGAAGCGGAAGCGAGTTCCCGGCGAGGACGACGGTTCTCCAGCTCCTGCGCGTAGGGCTCTCGACCCCAATACCACAACGCCCCTGTGGCAGAACGAGAAGCTCCGCTACGCTGCGAAGCACCACGGCCCGGCCTACAGCTTGGACAAGCTCTTCACCGAGAAGGAGCTCTCGCTCACGCGCCTCAACGCATCTCTGGCGGCGCACAAGTACATTCAGAAGCACAAGGTGTACTCCAATGGTGCCACGTCCCCGAACGGCAGCGATTCGGGTCATGGCGATAATGACAGTGCGGAGCAAGACGGCGACTCGGCCTCGGCACCCATGATGGAGCGCACGGCATCCCATACGACGAGGAGCACTCGCGCCGGTATCAACCAGAGCCTGCTCGATGCGGCCGATGCGTCAAATACCCTCGAGCTACCCAAACACATCGACATTCTGGAGCCTCACGAGCCGACAAAGATCCCTTCTACCCACATCGCCTCGTACTTCAAGACCAACGGTCGTGTCACGGAGAATTGCCCAACCTCACTGACAGTCGAGGAAGCCAACTCGGACATCCTTCTCATGGAGCTTTACAAAAAGTACGATGCCAAGCACAAGCCTGGTGCGTCCATCGACCATCCCAATGGCAGCAAGAAACTGCTCGAGTCCGTCGTTGCCCCTTACGTCAGGACACACTATACGGGCTTCCGCACCGGCGGTCGCGCCAATCCCAAGGCGATGAATGAGAATCTCGTCAGTGTCGAGGCTCGCGACTCTGCTCCCTCAAGTCTTGCTGCAGCTCTGGGGGCTGCGGCCCCGATGAGCCGCCAAAGCAGTGCCGCCGGCGGTAACACCATGAGCCGGCAGGGCAGTGCCCGTGGTAAGACACGGAAGAATTGAACTGGCAGGGGCCTGCAGGCAAGCAACTGAGCGGTAGAGGAAAGAGACGAGGCGGCAACACATGAGACGGCGTTTGGTTATATGACTGAAATGAGGATTTTCTTGGTCTTGGTACTAAGGCGCGGTTTTCGCGCACATGGGCTTCTTTTTTTTTTTCTTTTATCTTCAGTCCAGTGAGTGGTCCTACATGAACCTAGCGGGCAGTTTTACGCACAAGCATCATTGGCATACAGAACTCTGGTAATGGGGACAGGCAGGGATAGCAGCACACGGCGGAAGAAGTGATCATAGTCGTTCGCAAGGGCACGGGACACTCTTTTAGTTAGTTGGTGCAGATACCCAATTGCTATTATGACATTTCATGGCTTCATCACATTTCATGGCTTCATCACATGCTATGCTGTGCTTGCTTTGCTGTTCCCGCTATCGCCCATCCTCTCTCTCAGGGCCCGAACACGAGCGCCCTCACCTCGATGCTCTCCCGTCCCTCGGCATCCTCCGCCGTGCCGGGATGCGCAAACGCCGTGTGCGCCACGCGCCCTCCCTGCACGCCGCTCCCCTCCTTCAACGCCTCGCTGTCGAAGCACTCGAGCAGCAGCCTCTGGTCGCCCGTCATGCCGGAGAGATAGTACCACCTCTGGCCCTCGTGGTAGCGGATGCCGGCCGTCTCGCCCGTGTAGCCGTTGGCGTAGCGGTGCTCGACGGGCACGACCTCGTCGTCGCGCAGCGAGGCGCTCGAGGCGAAGGCGAGGGGGAACGACGCGACGGGCCCGCGGTTCAGCGGCCGCCAGACGTTGACGATGCGGTAGCGGCCGGCGAGGAGGCGGTCGGCCTCGTCGTCGGACGCGGCGTGGCGGCGCACGCGCAGGGCGGCGGAGCGGGCCGTCTGGTCGATGTGCACGCGCTGGACGGGCTCGCGGGGGCTGTCCTTGCTGGCGCGGCGGATGGTGTGGTCGAAGAAGATGACCTTGTTGGCGCCGGGGATGGCCTTTCAGCAGCAGCGCCTCCAGCTCGGGGTAGTACTTCCTCTTGATCGAGTCGTCGTCGGCAAAGGCCGTCTCGGCGGAGGGCGGCTCGCTGAGATGAGGGCAAAGGCGTCGCGGTCGAGGTTCTGGAAGGAGGACTCGGAGCCGCGAATGTCTGTTATCGGCACAGGGCGTGAATCGGTCGTGTAGTTGCGAATGGGCAGACCAGGAGGGGGAGGGTCAACGTGGTTGAAGGGAGCGGCGCCGTCCGGGGGTGGGGCATAGAAGTTCAGGGTCGCCGTCGTGTTGCCGGACATGATTTGTTGCGACACTGTGATTTTTGTTTTGGGGTGGGGATATACAATGTAAGATCTGATAGGTAAAGATGAAGCTGTCACAGGCAGTGGCGACTGATGACGGTCACAGTGTACGTTTGCTTGTGGTGGTTAGGAAATTGGAAGACAGGCAAGTAAATAGATGCTCGAAGTTGTAAGGTAAACCACAACGGGAGCAGGTGATGGTATCTTTATATACTGAATATGGATATTGTATTTCAAATCATAAGAGGCCGAGGTCATCAAGATGAGCTGAGCTTGAGTGAGCTGTGATGTTCACGCCCAATCACGCAATTGATGGGAGGGGGCCAATGATGACTTGACGACAGAAGGGCGTATCATGTAATGGATGGCGGTCTTCAGATTAGTAAAGCACAGGAGCTGCGACGAATTGCTCTTCCTCTGTTCGGCAGGTGGTTTTGCCAGCAGTAGTTAGTTTCTTCGAGACCTCCTCATTCTTTTGTCCTGACAAATCGATGGCGTGGTTGAGGGACAGGGCAGAATCTGGGGTAACCGCATGACGTAATACTGTGTGCGCAGACCGTGCCGTCTGGGTTCGCACTGCTGCGACTGCCGACGCATCGGGATGCACTTGCTTGCTCACGTCCACCTGCGCCGGGGTCGCGATTGCCAAGACATCGATGCCGCCGCTCTACTACGGTTCTGGTGGTAGCTCAGCATTAGGTACCTCCCCAGGTACCTAGATAGGTAATGGGCAATAGACAGTGGGCAGGCAGCGGGCAAGCAGCGGGCAAGCAGCGGGCAAGCAGCGGGCAGCCCCCGGGCAGCCCCCAATGCTCATGAGCCCAAGAGCTAAATTTAGTACTCCCAATTCGACCTCAGCGCTGTTGCCGTCTCTCTGGGTAATTAACAGTCAACTTCATCGACCGCTGCCGTGACTCGTCTCGCGACAACATCCCCCTCACGAGGTCCGCGCCCGCGCCGTGTCATGTCTGGCACCATACTACCGATTGACCGCATCTGTACCGGCATCGACCTCAGCATCCATTGGCATCGGCCTGCAGCCCTATCAACCCGAGTGCTGCTGTGACTCGCCTGCAGCCACCAATGATGTGACGCTCAGCTCCTTGGCTGCACTACACCTCGCGATGGCTTCAGCTCATCTTCAACCACCCTCGCAACCTCCGCCCAATGGACACACAAACGGGCAGGGCCTCGTGATGCAATCACCGTCTTACCCCGCCCGAGCGAGGCAGCATGCCGCACCATTGCTCATCCGCCCTACGCTTCCTAGCAGGCATGTGGACGCCGCTACCTTCGAAGATGCTTTTGTCTCCTTCATCATGTACTGCAACCCCGCCGTACCCCTTGAGACGGACACGGGTACTTTGCGGGAAGCATTTCGTGCCTTGCCCAAGTCCGGCGGCAAGTCCTTCACTGCCTTCAACCTCTTCTTGCTCGTGAGGCAACTCGAGACGAAGGAGCTGAAGACCTGGGCTGAGCTTGCACTCAAGCTCGGCGTCGATCCGCCCGACAAGGACAAAGGGGAGAGCTCCCAAAAGATCCAACAGTATGCCGTCAGGCTAAAGGTATCGACCGAGCCATGCTGTCGCCCTCCTGGTGCTCACTGCTAACCGCTGCTCAGCGCTGGATGCACTCGATGCATGTGGATGCCTTCTTTGAGTATCTCATGAGCATTCCTCATCCTTACTGGACTGATATTCCTACCGATCCGACCCCCATCTACCAAGAGGGACGAGATGGTGTCGCTCCCGTGGATGACATGGCCTTGCGTGCTCTGGTGCCCCAAGCACGCCCCAAACGAGGCAAGAAACGCCCCGAGGAGGAGAGCTTGAACGAGTCGCCCTCACAGCGCCCCAGAATAGAGCCGCCAGCCTCAGAAGAGTACGGTACTGCCCGCAACAGTCTTGGCCCTTGGTCGGCGCATCCGGATGCTAGAGGCCGTTTTACTGCACGGCCGCCAGATTCCCTACTGCGTCCCGGCCCAGGGACCGGTCCCTGGCTGCATGAACCAGACGCCCAAACCCCTTTGACAGCGTACCCCCTCGGGCCCCTCTCCGCTATCACGCCCACGACCCGAAATAATTTCTGGGGGGATTCCAACGAGCCCATGTCGGCCGTGAATCCCAAGGGCAAAACACATCAGCAGCGCCGCCACGGCGCAAAAGTTGTCTCCTCAGCATGGCGTAGTCGCGGGCTCGGAGGCAATGCCAATGGCAAGGCTCGCGGCAGGCCGCCCATGAACCGGAACATCATGGACAAATCTGCACAACCAGCAGGCTCAGCAGCTGAGCCGGGTTACGATTCTTCTGTGCCTGATGGCAGCGACCAAACCATCACCCCGGCGATGCATACGCCCCCTTCAAACACTTCCTTGGCCGGCACACCGATAGGTGCCCCTTCTATACCGACCCCTATACCCCCTACAGCACCTCTACCTTCAGAATTCCCGGTTCACACCCAAAGACCGACCAAGCCCAGCATATCACTTCAAGTACCCGAGCGCGTTGGAGGCTCGGTGCGACTTGCCACACCGCCGCGCCCCTATTTCCCGCCACCGAACCTGCAGCTACCTCCCGAGGTCGTGGTCCACGGTCAACCGAACCCTGACCATGGAGGCTTTATGAACCAGACCTTCTCCAGCACCGCTGCTCCGACGAATGTCGCTCGCGCAGCTGCTGCCACCACGAACCCGCGTCCAACCGCACAGCAATACACATCGAACCCAGCATTCAACTTTGAGACAACCGATCACGAAGTCCCTAGTCTTGACCCTGCACCCCGCGTGACTCCTCTGGGGTTTTTCGACGATATGGAGGAACGCACCAATATTGACGCCACGTTTGGCTACTTTCATAGCGAGGTTCTGCGCGCCGATTGGTACGACGCGAGCGGAAAACGCACACCGCCCTGCAGTCTTGACGAGGCTCATGCACTTGTTGCTAGCATCATAGAGGCCCTCTACGCGGCGGCCGCCTCTCACGCCGCCTTCCTCATCAATGTCGCTGCCTTGGCCGGGGGGGCAATGCTCATGACGACCGATAAGATGCAAATCAGGCGGCTCGTTGAATACGAGGACCGCACGCATTTTGAGTGCTCTTGGGTCTACCGGCTGGGCAGTGTGAAGGGGACGTATAGGATGGCGCAGACTGTACAGCATGAACGGTGGCAAAGGTCGCCCGACGTGAGCGAGGCTGAAGATGACCCGGGCACCACCAAGGGCGGCGGCGGCTTGTGGCGGAACAAGTACGAGAATCTGATGAAAGAGATGCGGGCTAAGGACAAGGAACTCGCGGCAATGAAGAGGAAGGTGCTGGGCATGTTGGATTCATAAGCGTGGCAAGATGGCTGGTCTCTGCATATTGTGCCCTTTCACGATATTTTTGTCACATGTTGGATACGGAGGGAAACACGTATATTTGCATATAGCTCAGCAAGACAAATTGAGTGTATCCTGTAACTAACGTAACCCCAATTCATGATACCGACAGGCGTGTCGTTTGCCTATGGTCATCCCAACTTCAGCTTGCAAAAGAGATGTGCCATGCCCAAGAAGCTTTGCACGGCAGTGCTGTTGTCCTTCGATGTACCAATGCTCATGTAGTGAAGTGGTTGAGTGTATGCAGCGATGACAAGGCTCGAGCACCGCCGGCATGCTAAGCACAACAAGCCAGTCACAGCATATGACCCAATCGGTCTTTTCTTGAGTGTTTGAAAGAGTCACAAAGCCGTTGGACTCGAGCATGCTTGCCCAAATTGTGTTATCCTCCATCGAGCGAGTACAACCCGGCGCAACGGCACTGTTGCAGAAGCTCGCGGCTAGAACAGCTCTGCAACTCTAAATCATCAATTGCATCGGCCATGTGAGCCTTTCCATGCTGAGTGTGGCGCGGCCCGGTTGCAGAGAAGTCCTTGATGAAGGAAGAGAAAGGTCTGAGCTGGATGGGCTCAACACTAGCGAGGTTTCCTACACGGAGGCTGTACTGCCTTCTTTTCCGAATCGGTTCGTGTTGGGGCTTGATAGCCGTTAAGAAATCGAAAGACACCGCTTGGGAGATCTATGCTGTATGATACGCAAGACCCTATCTACCATGTCTACCCATGCATGCCTCGTCAAAAGGCCGAAAGCCTCCCATGCATGGCACCCCCAAAAGAAATCGCCCGCGGAGAGCTTTGTGCCAAAATTAAGAAGAGACTCCCCTCATTGGCCAGCAATTCACAACGAAACCACGGTCTCGCCAGACTCTCTCTGCTCATCCAAAACGAAAACCCCGACCACGACATGTCGCCCACCACACGACTGTCAAAAATACAAAACATACAACACCGAGGATTCGCTGGTGGTCACCCACCCAACTACTAGTTCAGCCCTTACTGGTTTATCGATGGGAGAGCGGACGGGATCCCGAGTTTTCCAGTAGGTATGGTCGTATGTGCTAGAGACGCTTCGCGAAGCGGCTCATAGCGCTTTTGCAGAACCGAGCTCGCAGCTTTGGCAACCCTCAAACCTTGTCACGCAACGCAACATGTATTCAGGGCCACTGTACTAGCATTGGTCTGTCCCGGTATATGGGGAGGCACTCACTTCGTACTGATGATGGCAAAGTATGGCCCGGGAGACCCCAGCCGTAGCGGCCCCGACGGAACTCGCCAACCGCCTCACGTCATCGGTCCGGTCAAGTCACGAAGTAACACGAACCCACACGATAAGGTGCATGATCCCCAGCGATCCAAAGCTTGAAGAGTGGCCAAACAGCACAAAGCGCCGAGGATGGAGATGCAGCAATTGTGGGTTCCCAGGCGCTGATCGGGTCCAGCAGAAAATGTGGGCAACTGGAACTCATGATATCGGAATCGAGATGAATGTCTGCAACCAGCTCTCTTCTTCCATGTCGGTTAAGAAATATCAGAACTTGCGTTTCCCAAGTCACTGGCGTCGGGCCATCGCTAATGTCGAGGTATCCCCAGGAATCGGTCCAGTTTGGGACCATTCAGAGCAGCTTGCTGGTGTTCCACACAAGAACGTCAGACCCCGTACTTCGATCTCGGAAGCCTTCACAGTCCGTCCATGATGTCAATTGATCTTCCAAACATCGGATGTTCAAAGCCGAAGAAGCTGCCTGTCCCATTAGACTGTTCGCGATCCACGCGAGGCCGTCGGGGCTCAGCCCTCTCGATGTGTGAAGTTGGAGTAGTCGAGACGAAATGATCCAATGAGAGCAGAGTGACAGCCCGCCATGCAGCCTCCTGGGTAAAGGGTCGTTTCCATTCCAGGAGCACAGTGTATGGTGGGAACAGCAGCTGAGGATCAGCCCCTGATGGCGCAGACGACGCGTCTTGTGATGGCGCTACGGGCGGGACGGCATGTCAACACACGTAGTTGAGGGATCTACTAGGGACATGATCACCTTCTTCGAGTGGAGTTTTTTTCTCTATGTTTTCACAGTCTGCAGACTTTGATCGGAGCATCGTTGTGCGATCGAGAGAGCGAGAGCCGAGGCCGCGCGAGAAGTCTGTCCATTGGGGGGCACATTCAGTCTATGCTGTGCTACAAACACGGCGCCCCGTGCTTGGGCTGCTGCTGTTTCTTGTGCGTGACGCACAGTTGCTCAAGCTCAGTATCACGGTAGGTCGTTCCTAAGCCATCACAAAGGCTCCTTGCTTGCCCATGTTTCACGATTCATGTCGCCCACTGCGTCGCCGGCCAGCATTTTTGAGAAACATTGCTTTTGGCACTCTGCATCATTCGGCCCCTGACGTTAGAAAGGGGCACGGTGCCCCATAGCTCGGGGAGCCAAAATCTGACGCGGCAGAGATTGAGAGTTAGCGGCTGATCGCCGTGGCCAGCAGTGACGAATGCCAACCAGCCGGCGACAGTGCTAGCTGATACCGTTGTGGCCTGGCGCCGGGCGCCGGCGCACTCAACTGACGGGGTTTCCAGCGGTCAAATTCTCAACAGACGGCACATTGGTGCAAGGACCATTTCTGACGGCGGCAACGGGAGGGAGGCTGCGAACGGTTCTGGAGAGCATCGAGGCACCAGGTTGTGCTGGCGGCCTTGCACACTGACCATCGACGGTGGTCTGAGGTAGGGAGCATGGCTCGCTTTTTGACATTGCGTCGAAGCGTCCAGGCGCTCGTCTGCCGCCTGGGCTACGAATGTTTCGTCCAACTTAGGTACGCAAGGACGGGGGCCCGCCCTACTTACAGTACACTGCTGTTCACATGGTCGTTCAGGAGTCCGTGTAAGACGGAATGGAGACATGGAATTTTAGACGGTCGCTTGGCGTCGCAGAAGGGGCAGCACTGCACTGCGACTCTCTCCTCGTATTGGAACAGAGCGATGCTCGATTTGTGCGATTGCCGTTCTCGATTTATCTTGGAGCATTACGTTGTTGGTGTCTGGTACGAGATGATCAGCGCAGGGAGCCTCGTTTAAGCTCATATCCTCCGGGCTCGCTGGAGGTTGGAAACCTTGGTAGGGACGTAGCAGTGGTGGAAGCCCGCTGCGACTTTGCCTAGCCAGGTTGGGGCGACGATCCGGTTGACGGGCACGCTGGAGCAGAATCGAAAGAAAAACAGGGTGCTGTGACTCGCGCAAACACACTGTGGCTCACAGCCGTTTCTCGGTCTACATGTGCCATGTACCTGGTAGTCTGTGTCGTTGTGATCCGTCGAGCACCTTTTTCAGCCTCCGTGTGAGCAGGCCAGCGATGGAATAATGCCAGGAGAAACGGCGAGTATGTAAGCGCGCGGCGGGCGAAGCAGAAGGCCTGGTCCCCATTGCGGATTCCTTTGGCTGTCAATATTTACCATGGCAGTTGGCTGGCTGGCTGGAATGGCCAGGCCGTTCGAAAGCAAAACAAGACGGGCCAAGCCAAGTGGCCGGGTATCTTGCTTGGGTACATGTACTTGAGTACGCGTCGCCTTGCTTGGAGCTTGGGCGAGGCCGTCGGACAAGAGTCGTCAAGAGCAGCAGTGGAAATGGAGATTGATGTGGATTGATGTGTACATGGATTGCTTGCTTGGTGGGATTGGGGTTGGTGGTGGTGGTGCGGAACCCTTCCCAGTGCCTCTCAGGGCCAGACGATGATTCGCTGGCTGGGCCCTCTGCGGTTCTGTGGTTCCTCGAGCATGAAACAAGGAACAGGCGGCCGCCTGGCTCTTGCCTGGCTCTTGCCTGGCTCTTGCCTGGCTCTTGCCTGGCTCTTGCCTGGCTCTTGCCTGGCTCTTGCCTGGCTCTTGCCCGTTAGCCGTCTCACGCCCCTGAAAGCCGGTGGCCGCCAACCGGTGGCCGCCAACCGCCAACCGCCTGGCACGCCGCGCCAGTGGGTCGATGCAGTGGGCGGACGCAGTGGGCAGGCGTGGGAAGGGATGCCCACGGAGACACGAAGCAGGCACGAACCAAGGAAAACGCTAGACAGTGGCAACCCGTGGCGCGCCCCCTCTTGCCCCTGCAGGTCGAGGACCCCACCGAAGGCCCTTCACTGTGGATCCACCAGACTGTGCCCAGACTGTGTCCCCTGATCGCTGGGGTACTGTAGACGGACCTGGCAGTCGTGCTCCAGCGGACCCCTACCGATCGTCATCCTCGTCTTGAGGTGCTTCAGATTGTCGATTTCCACGTTCCTTGAAATGCCTTGCTGATCCGCCGCCTCGCTCGCTCGCTTCTGTCAATTCCCTTTCAGCCCTCCTACCTACCTATTCCTCCTATTCCTCCTATTCCTCTTATTCCTCTTATCTATTTCCTTGTTTCCCCCCCCCCCATTTCCATCGATCGCAGACATAGACCAAGTCTCCTCGCCAGTCGTTACTTGGAATTGGCCTTGTCGTCATTGGACTCACACCCTTAGGTCTTCTCGCACCGACTTCCCTTTTCGACGTTTGACATTGGGACGCCATCTCGTCTCGTGTGCATTCGAACAGACGTTTCGATACCCAGCAATTCCCTCCCAACAATACAGAGGTGTGGATCCGGATCCCCTCGTCCAAGCTACTCACCTGCCGAGCATCGTCATTCACTTCTCAGGGTCCGCGCCCTTGCCCTTTTTCCGCAACTAAAAACCCAGTAACGCCTCCGACCACTGCCGCCGGGGCTGCCTCGATGACCCTCTCCCCTCGACACAGCGGCTTCATCCCCATTCGGCGCAGCCATTCTAAAGAAATGGTGCAGGATCAAGGCATCCCTCTCACGCAGGTGAAGAGCCATGCCAGCTCCACGGGCGCTCGCCGCCCCAACATGAACATCGCCATGGACGGCTCCGGCTCTGGCCAAGAAACACCCGACGAGAAACAGCACCTGCATGCCCGGGGCCGCGCCGGTCGCCGCAAGGGCAAGGCGCTCTCGAGAAACGATACAGGTGGCTCCGAAGAGGTCTCGCTCAACGCCATGGGCCGACTCTACAAGAAGATCATTGGCGCCTCAGTCGTTACCCGCTACCTCGTCTACATTATTCCCATCGCTATCCTTCTCGCCATTCCTGTGGTTGTCCTGCCCATCACGGGCCACAGGAATGATCTTCCCGTGGGCAGGAGCAGCAAGGACGGCGATGGCAACAGAACCCCCGGCCCTGCGCTCTTCCGCCTCTTCCTGTGGATCGAGATTGCGTGGCTCACCTTGTGGGCCGGCAAGGTTGTCGCCTGGCTCCTTCCGCGCGTCTTTATGTTCGTCGTCGGTGTCGTCAGCACTGGCACGCGCAAGTACGCTACGGTCCTACAGAACCTCCAGATTCCCATGTCCTTCTTCTTCTGGGCGCTCGCCTCCTGGCTCACCTTTCGCGGACTGTTCGGCGGCTTCAACAACGTCCACTGGGTCAAGGTCGTCGTGACCATTCTTGGCGCCCTGTTCTCGTCTGCCGCTGTCTACCTCGCCGAGAAGGCCATTGTCCAGCTGATTGGTATCTCCTATCACCAGCGGTCCTTCGCCCTTCGCATCAAGGCCTGTAAGCGCGAGGTACACCTCCTCGGCCTGCTGTACGACGCCTCCCGCACCCTCTTCCCCATGTACTGCGCCGAGTTTGAGGAGGACGACGACATCATCTCCGACTCGATCCTCGCCCAGACTGGCAAGAAAGTCGGCGGGGCTGCTGTGCCCCTCAAGTTTGTCGGCAACATTGGTCGTGTCGGCGACAAGGTGACGGCAGCCTTTGGCAACGTTGCGTCCGAGATCACTGGCAAGCAGGTCTTCAACCCCAACTCGGCCCACTCCATCGTCATTGAGGCCCTCGAGAAGACCAAGTCCTCCGAAGCCCTGGCACGCCGCATCTGGATGGCTTTCGTGTGCGAGGGCAACGACTCTCTGTACCTCGAAGATGTTCAAGAAGTCCTCGGCCCCTCGTACAAGGACGAAGCTGAAGAGGCTTTCAACGCCATTGACGGGGATATGAATGGCGACATCAGTCTTGAAGAAATGACTCGTTCCATTGTCGAAGTGAGCAAGGAGCGCAAGGCAATCACCGAGGGCATGAAAGACATTGGCCAGGCCCTGCGTGTTTTCGATAAGGTTTTGATGTTCGTGGTCCTCCTCATCGTCATCTTTATCTTCCTCGCGTGGTTCCAGAGCAGCTTCCTTACGACTGTCGCTACTGCCGGCACGGCCCTCTTGTCGCTGTCTTTTGTCTTCGCCGTCACCACGCAGGAGTTCCTCGGTTCCTGCATCTTCTTGTTCGTCAAGCACCCTTATGATGTCGGCGACCGCGTCGACATTCACGGCTCGGAGAAGCTGCAGCTGGTCGTCGACAAGATCTCTCTTTTGTACACTGTTTTCACTCGCATCGACAAGATGCAGGTCGTCCAGGTAGGCCCGTTCTGCCCAGAGGCAACCGTATTTTGACTTTTGACTGACCAATGGCAGGTGCCCAACATTGTCTTGAACAATTTGTGGATTGAGAACGTGTCCCGCAGCAAGGCCATGAAGGAGGTCATCACCATCCACATTTCATACGACACGTCCTTTGAGGACATTGAGACGCTTCGCCACGAGATGGAGGCGTTTGTTCGCCACTCGGACAACTCGCGCGATTTCCAGCCCGATGTTGCCATGGGTGTCAGCAGCGTTGGCGATCTGGACAAGCTCGCTCTCGATGTTGTCATCAAGCACAAGTCGAACTGGCACAACGAGATTGTCCGCGCCACCCGTCGTTCCAAGTTCATGTGCGCCCTGGTCCTGTCCCTCAAGAAGGTCCCCATCTACGCTCCTGGCGGTGGCTCCGAGGCTCTTGGTGGCCCTACCAACCCCACATACTCTGTTTCCGTCTCTGATGAGATTGCTGCGGCTTCCCGCGAGGAAGCGGCCAAGAAAAAGGAGGCTGCGCGCTTGATTCCGCACGAGACGGACATCGCCGCTGGTGCCGATTCCGACTCGACCAAGGAGAGGCAAGCCATGGCGGGACTCAATGTTAGGGACCCTGCAGACGGAGAGGAATGGGGGTACCGACTGGGCGACGATCAAACACCCTCGGATGCCCGAGGACGTCGATCTGAGGATCACCGCCGTTCCAACGACATGGATCGCAGTCATTCGGAGCTCGTGAAGCGCGCTAGCACGCGCGGAGGTAGACGCAAGGCCGGCGAGGGTCTTTCCAACCTCTCCTTGGTGGACTCGCGCCAGCCAGAAGGCCACGGCGCCCATCTGGCCCCAACAACCTCGCGGCTTCAGACATATGACGAGGAGTCTTCCACCGAAGCATATGGAAGCGGATACCACAACAACACAACTGGCGTGAACCGTATGCCTTCGTCCGCGTACAGCTTCACGGCTGGCAACAACCTGAGCCCGGTCGAGAGCAGGCCGCACCCGCTGCAGAGCCAGCCGTACGGCCGTCAGGGCCAGGGCCAGGGACAGAATCAGGGGCCGGCTCCCCAACGGTAGAGGCATTGACAGAAGAGTCACGGCAGGAAGTTTTACGACGAGGCCCGTAGATGGGCCGTAATGACATAGACACCATCACAAGAATGCAGAATCATGAATCAACCTGATTAACGTAGTGTGGTTTCTTTGATGGACAGTGTGGTGCCTCATTGATTGTGTAGAGACTTGCCCACCACCCCGATCACCAAGCTCTGTCTCTCCCCCTCTTAGCAGACGTGCTCCACCTCACCAATGTTCTCCTTCGGCCCGAGATCCGTCTTGAGCACGCGTGCGAACAGCTCGAGCAAGACCTCAAAGCACACCTTTGAGATGGCCGGGTCGTAGCGGCCCTTGCTGAGCTCGTCGCGGATGAAAGCGTGCTGGGCCCAGGCGAACTCGTAAAACGACGTCGTGACACCGGCGTCGCGGAGCTTGGCGCGGATGAGGTCGCGGCCCGCGGCGGGGACGTGCGTGTCCTTGACGCCGAAGATCATGGCCACCTCGGCGTGCGCGAGGCGCGGCAGCCGGTCGAGGGTGTGGGCGCTGTCGTCGGGGCCGGAGGCGGCGGCGTTGGCGGCCGTGTGCGGGCCCAGGGTGCGCGTGTGGATGTCGGTTGCGAAGTAGGACGTGCAGGCCGTTATGCGGGGGTCGAGCTAGCGGCGTTCGGGTTGGTACTGGGCGGAACGCATGCGAGAAAGGGAGGGGAGGGGGAAGGGGGAGGGGGGACGTACGGCGGCGCGGACGGCGAGGTGGCCGCCGAGACACATGCCTGTGCTGCCGATGAGGCCGGTGCACGTGGGCAGGGTGAGGAGGTGGTCGACGGTGCGGCGGGAGTCCTCGTCATACGACTCGAGGGTCTGGAGGGGAGGGCAGGGCTGTTAGTCTCGAGTCCAGCTTGAGCCATGTGTGTCCGTTCGTCTGACCTTTTCGACCTTCCAGGCGTTGCCCTTGTCGGTGCCGGGGACGTCGTAGGCCAGGGCCTCGGGGCCGGTGAAGTCGTGGTAGGACGAAGGCGCGGCGACGATGTAGCCCTGGCCGGCGATTTGGCGGGCGAAGCGGGCGACGGGGCCAGTCACTGTGAGACGGCGGTTCAGTCTTCGGTGTTGCTGGGAGGACGGCCTACCCCGCCATTGGAGGGGCCGTGATGATTGCGTTACCTTGGTAGATCTCGGAGAAGAGGCAGACGCCGGGGAATTTGCTTATAAATGTCAATTAATCAGTCTTGTTAACGTTCTCGGGGAGGCCTACGCATTGGGATATCCGGGGATGCTGGGGTGGAACACGTAGATTCCTGTGATCGGTTAGCCGTGGGACGGACGTGATATGAGATGATACGAGGGGAGCATACGCATGGAACCGTCCTTGCCGTCGGCGGACGTCGCCACATCGACGTAAGATTCCTTGATGAGCATCTTGGACTGCTTTTATGTAAACGGATTGGCAAGCGAAGGAAGAATACTGGCGACGGCAAGCTTCAGCGCGGTGAAGAGTAAGGCGCCTACCATTCGAGCCACTTCCCATGATGGCTATCACATCCGCGGGGAAATCGTCCTCGCTGCTGAGTCAGCGACACCCGAGCCACGACATGCCCCTTTAGGCCCTGGATCGATAAAACAGCTATATTCTCAAGTACGACACGGATCAATGTTGGTCATTTCATATGGGAAAGTTGCGAGCTACGTCTGAGTGACACCTTTCGGCATCGTTCACTTTGAACTAGGCTGATGTTGACTTGTTGCGGTGCCAACTGCCGTGACACTTTACATGAATATTGTCTTCCATGGAGCCCAGTAACCGAAGCCCTCGTTGCCACTTGATCCATGGAGGATCAGAAAACAGAATTTCTAAAAAGTTCAACCTTCCCAGACCACCGGAAGAGGAGGCGTATACTGGAGGAGGTCCTTAGGTCCAGCAGGAGGGAACATATGTTGGTTCTCAGTGACCATGAGACCTGCCCACGCACGTCAGTCACAGCACCCTGCCATATAGGATAGCCCCAAAACTACTTACCTGGAGTCTTGAGGTTGTAGGTACCAGGAAACCTGGCAAACCCCTCGGGCACGCCACCACCTTGGCCTACTATCTCCACATGGGCGCAGTTGACGTACCACTGGCTCATGTGAGCCCAAGGCAGTATCCAGAAGTGCTCTATGCGCAGAAGGTACTTTCCGGGCGGTGTGGTCTTCGGGATCTTGAATTGAACCTGAAGGTATAATCAGCATCGTGACCTCCGTGTCTGAGGAGCACCCGTCTCACCTCTTGCTGCTGAAAAGTCTCCCAGTGGGAATCATTCTTAGGGCCGACGTAGCCAATCTTGAACCAGTCGCCATTGCCAGAGTAGGCCTCGAGAACATCGTTGGGCGCCCGTGAAAGCCAGATCATGGCCGGACCGCGATGGTTGATCTCCGCGCCCTGCGCCAGGTAATGGTTACCCCCATCAATGTGAATACCAAAGGACGCTTGAGACCCGGCCTGAATCGTAGCCGTCTTGGTGCGTCCGGCCGAGGCAAAGGCGTTTCGACCACAGGTGATATTGGTCGACGTTAGATCGGGGGTGCCCATCTGCGGGACCACTTTGCCGTACTCTGGGTTGGCGTTGAGCTGCTTGTCGCCGTTGGCTACATCACGGACGTACTCCCAGTCGCCGCTTTCGACGCCACTGACAATCAGGCGAGAGAAGGCATCTATAATGATCAGCAAGAGACATATGAGAGCTTGGGCGTATGAGGCGTACAGTGGGCGGATGCCCCATTGAGCAAAAGTGCGAAGATTCCAAAGGCTTTCATGGTGTCAGGTGCGGTACTTGCTGGGCGTAGTGTTTGTGTGTCTGAGCTTGGAGGCTTCTCGAAATCAATGTTCGACGACAGAGGAAAGCAGTCACTCTTTATATAGCAAGACAGCTGGTTCGATCGCATACGATTATCATCAATCGTCGCTTACTTGTACTTCGTTGGTGTCGCCTGCTTTTGGTACGAGATTCTTACTCCATGTGATGTTACATGCATTCCGGCCACACGGGAGCTACGGCATCAAGAACCACCACCAGCATCTAAAGCAGTGCCCGAGCTGTTTCTTGAGTGGCTCCACGGAATGTATGCCGCAGAGTAAGCTAGAAAGTCGAGGGACTGTGCGGATTCATATGAGTGACGGCAAACGGGAGGCGAAGCCGAAGAGGGTTCGTGATCCTTCGAATGCACGAGAGGCCCTTTAAGTAAGAAACAGACCGCAAAGGCAGAGCCTTGAGCGGCTGCAGGCGCGCGCTTCCGAATCATGGACTTCCGACGTCAAGGTCGGTATGCTCACGGAGGTTCACGTGAGATTCAGTGCCATTTCTCCTGAACTTGCAACTTCGTTCCTTAGGATGTGGCGGATCCTGGTCTTCTACATCCATGCTGCACCCATGCTATTCAGAAACCGTGCACCTGCATGTTGCGCGGACCAGGCATCCTTCGCTCCCTTCGGGCTCTGGACAATGATGCTTCCCATAGGACCTGCAGCGTGGCGACAAATCAAACAGTTGGCCAGCGATATCAACTGATGCCTTCGCATCCTTCTGTAAGCATTACTTCACGTAGCTTGTTGGTTGAGTATAGCTCTCACTGTGGGTTCCGGAGGTGCTCCTGTTGGCAGCCAGAAACTTCACGGCAAACGCGAGTGTAAGAGGTTTGCAAACAAGGAAGACAGACGTATCTATTTCCGAAGTTAGATAGTCATGTGTGTCGGAAAATGGCGTTTCAGATAGGTCTGGCCGTGAGTTCTCACACATTTGTGAGCATTACTCTTTGTTCCCTGATCTCTTGCTCGTGAAGCCTTTGGAGGTCGAGTTTGGACCGCTCCTCAATGCTTGTGATCCTTGAGGATAATCCGTTGTATTGTGCCGGTAGCGCCCACGAAGTGCAAAGGCTGTCGCTGAGAGTCGCAAATGCAGCAATCACATCCTTCAAGAAATGGTATTGATAGCTACGACCCAAGTTTCTGGAACGCGGCCGCAAGTGCGCTGTCGCTACCGACCAATTCGGTTCCATGACGGAGACTGAGGCGGCAGTAGTGGCGGTTCAATAGCCGACGGGCCGTTACCGAATACTTTATGCCGGGGTGCACCAAGGACCTAACAGTCTTCCTGGAAAGTTGTTCGAAGGATTGTTGAGGCAGGATCTCAATACGCACTGTTAAATCCTCCGCGGAACCGTACCGACATCTCAACAAACATAAGCCGCTGCTGACGAGGACTGCGCCCACACTGCCCATCCAATGCGACCAAGCTACCTGGTCTGGTAAGACCGCCCAAGAGCCTGCCGCTGGACCCTGCGTGAGATCCGTGGCCTTCCTAAGCACAACGTTGGCAAGCTGTGCATGCCATAACAGAATTGCTTACTCCTCGTGAGCTTCTGGCACTGTGCCATGTATTACTTCTCTCTGGGTTGTCTGGGTGTTTGATCAAGTATCCGCAGTGCTCAGAGCCTTTCAAGATGCTGAAAAATGCGCCAAGAACCGGATAGTCGGCTCGAACTCTCACACCTAATATGGTATGCCACTGGAGATGTTCGTAAGCTTGCCCACAAGATGCGGTCCTCAATGCAGAGAGGCCTCGTAACATCCTTGACAAGAAGGGCCGAAGGTGACAGTCTAACGCAACTGATGTCTCCTCTACCTACCCATGACACGGACTTCAAGGCTGCGTAAGGCTCGAAATGCGGTCGGCAATCCAGGGTTGGAAGCCACCGGCGAGTGCGGGTTAGACGGCTTGGCCGATCTTGCTATGCTGGACTGATGCCGTCTTGCGGCGCAGGGCTTCGTGAATGGTTACTGGGGTTCGAAGCTGTGAGCTCGTCGGACTCCCCGGTCTAGTAGATCTCCGTGTTGACAGGCTCTGGGCGGTGTGAGAAGACAAGTTTGTACTTGACAATCTCAGCGACTTCCAGTTGCTCTTCGCCATCCGGACCGTTACTAACGCCATCCTTTTTTCGTACAATAGCAATTGCTCTGGGAAGTTTCTTGACCTCTCCGGTGAGTCTCTGGTGAGGACCGACGTATAGGTAGACACGCTTCATCCAAGCTGTGCTGCCAGCCTCCTGGGTATCGGGGTGGTAGTCCGGGAAGTCGATTCGACCCACGGGGATGCTCTTTGTGGCCTTGCCGTCCGAGTCCACTGCATCCTCAGGTAGATTTATTATGCCTTGAAGTTCAAGTAGGGCTAGGCCTGACGGCGTTTGTATCGTCTGAGGCAGCAGATTGTCTACAGCTTGGCGTGACGGCTTGGGCGGGTAAAGCTTGACCTGAGACATTTTGGCTGATAGTTGATGGGCTCTGATGGAATGACTGTGGAAGTAATGTGTGTAAAGAGTAGGATTGCCGCTCGACTGGTGGAACACCACGAACGTCCTGAAGGATGAGCAGGATCAAGACATGTCGGACGCGGACGTAGAGTTGGCCGGGGGTGTGCAATGAGATAAGCTGCATGCCTCCCTGTCTGCCTTATGTCAGCAAGGCACACCGCGCCAAACTGGGATCATCCAGTGGGTCTTCAGGGGTGGATCAACCATCAACGCTGCTTGGTCTGTGCATTCGCTGTCGAAAGAGGAAACGGCTGAATAATTTCTCCATTGCCCGGACCACGGGGCTAACCGAATGTGATTGGCAGGACGGAAACCCTAGCGCGCACACTCTTTCGTTCCCCCATTTCGACTTTTCCTCGAACGTGGATCCTGTTGTTCGTGAACTCTTCGTTACGCCCATCGACTTTCGACAATCAACGCCAATTTCTTGCACCACCCAGCGCCGGCAAGATGAAGGTACGACAGCCTCTACTCGAGCTCCCAGAACAACGGCGAACGTCTGTACTCTATCACGATCTCGATTGCGATACGGATATCGGCCTCGGCGTTGCTGGCGCTCGCCCTGACACTTTTTATCGCGGGCGGTCAAGAGCTGACTTCTTTTTCTTCTCACAGTTGAACATCTCCTACCCTGCCAACGGCAGCCAGAAGCTCATCGACATTGAGGATGAGCGCAAGCTCGCCATCTTCATGGAGAAGCGCGTACGTACACACACCCGTCGACTCGGACGTTCCATTACGACTTGAACGATTATTTTCATACCGAGGAAGTCATCCAGCCATGACAACAAAACTAACGCGAAACCTTCCAGATGGGCGCTGAGGTCCCCGCCGACTCCCTCGGTGACGAGTTCAAGGGCTACATCTTCCCGATCACCAGTGGCAACGACAAGCAGGGTTTCCCCATGAAGCAGGGTGTCATGCTCCCGTACCCGCCTCCTGCTCTCCGACGGACACTCCTGACTACCGCCCCCGCCGCACCGGCGGAAGCGCAAGCGCAAGTCCGTCCGTGGTTGCATCGTCGGCCAGGACCTCTCCGTCCTGGCCCTGTCCATCGTCAAGCAGGGCGAGGCTGAGCTCCCCGGCCTGACCGACGTCGTTCACCCCAAGCGCCTTGGTCCCAAGCGCGCCACCAAGATCCGAAAGTTCTTCGGCCTCACCAAGGATGACGATGTACGTGCGCTCCTGTCCGCCTCGAAAAGCCACCTCGTCATCGCCTGCCCGGTCCTGCTCACGCAGGCCGGGTAGAGTGTGAGAAAGAGAAGGCCGCGGGTGGCCTCTCTGTTCCCTTCCCCATGGAAGACGGACGAGAAGCAGAATCCCCGCGTGCTGGGCTATACACACATCGAGACAAAGACCGAGTAGAATGTCGGTTGCTAACCCGTGATTCTTTCCCCGGTGATTAGGTCCGCAAGTACGTCATCCGCCGCGAGGTCCAGCCCAAGGGCGAGGGCAAGAAGGCCTACACCAAGGCCCCCAGGATCCAGCGCCTGGTCACCCCCCAGCGCCTCCAGCACAAGCGCCACCGCCTTGCGCTCAAGCGCCGCCAGTCCGAGAAGGTCAAGGACGAGGCCGTACGTACTACCATGAAGACTCCCCCCTTCTGCCGACACACGCTGACCATGGCCCTCTCTACAGAACGAGTACGCTCAGATCCTCGCCAAGCGTGTCGCCGAGAAGAAGGCCGAGAAGGCCGACGCTCGCAAGCGCCGCGCTTCCTCCATGCGCAAGTAAGTTATGGCGTTGGGAAAACGAAAAAGAGATGCTCCGGTCTTCTGATTTTTCTTGCATCCGGCGTGGTAAGGGGGAAACAAAGCCTGGCGTGGCTCATTGGCAGTTCATCATCGAAACGGCACACGAATGTACTAGATTGGCATTCGGGACAATGGAACAACGCATCATTGACGCATAATACCCATGATTCTTGCACGCTGGGCAGCCCTTGTGAACCCCTGTTTTGTGTGTGTCGTCCAAGCGCTTCTCCAGCTTGGACAGGCATCGGACTGGTGTACCAAGGCAGGCAAGCGAGTAGTCTACTCATGCCATGCTGTCGTGACACGTTGGTAGGGCCTATTTTATTGGCTGGTAGGTAGCACAATGACGAAGACATGATCATCTCTAACCTTGTTTAACGTTTTCTGCTGATTGGGAGTCTACAAGAAGCATCTATGCCAACTCAGAATGTGATTTGAAGATGTCCGTGCATCACGTTTATGAAACGGTGCCTCGGTGAATCACAATAGTTGACCGGTATCGCAGAGCCAGGCATTATGATTGTGAAGTGTCCATCTTCATCATTTCGCAGGACTGCTGGAGATCTTGGATTACATGGTATTGCACATTTATACACATCGGAATACGGTGGAAAAAAACACGATATCATTGTTACTACTCTACAGTACCGCGCTTTCCTGCCCATGTGGCCGTTGCAGTGTAGGCAAAGTCCCAAGCAGCCTGCACTCCGCTGTGACCAGTCCACACTGACGAACGTTGCCGGGGATCCAATACGGTTCATAATGGAGGGGAAAAACCAACGCGGTGAAGAAATCCATCTGTCTCATCGAGCTGTACGTGAGGAAACGGAGGCTGCAACCGAGAAAACTCTCGGTCGCACGCGAATCAACCCGTATGTCTTGCCGTGAACCTGTAATCCAGACCTTCCTTGTCCGCAAACCATGCAAATGCTTTCTATGCCTTCTCCTCAGCTCGCCGAATTCAAATATGCTTGCCTATCAGTCTAGGCGAAGCCGAAGTAATCGCTGCCAGCTGTGATAGCTTTCATGAGTTGAGAACGGAGTGTCTCATAACTCTCATACTCAGGAAGATCAAGTTCTGTAACACAATTAGCCATAATATCGACGTGATACAGCAAACCTGGAATTGACTTACGGTTGAAGCATGTGTGTGAGCTGGGAAGACGCTCCTTGTTACCATAGTCGCGGTGAATGTTGAAACGGCTCACGCCATTCATCCCCTCAAGTTCCTTGAAGCCGTTGAGAGGGACTTTGGACGTTCCGGTCACGAATTGCAGGAGTTTGGCCAGCTCTTCCTTGTCAAACGACCGAATGGCACGCCAGAACCACTGGATTTGCTGCGAGGATGGAGTGTAGTTGTGGTACTCGGTATTGCTCTTCCAGTCGTCAATGTCAATATCGGGCAGACCGGAGATGAGTAGCTCAAGCTCCTGTTCGTTAAAGATGCGGATGAGCTCGGACGGGATGATCTCGTGGAAGCCCTTCAGAAAATGCTCCATCTGTTCTTTGACCGAGGACAGCAGTTTGTGCTCAACAACCAAACGAACGTAGTCATTCTTGTTCTCTTCGGTGACAGCAATGTTGCGGCCGTCGGGGCACAGGTCGACTATCGTAGTAACCCCGAACTCGTCGTCTTCGACCGAGAACGTCTCTGTAATAATATCCGTGATATCGTTCTCCAGCATCCACACCAGCGACTTGTAGTAGTCGGGATCGAACGATTCCATATCTTTGACAGAAACGGACTTGCCAAGGATGCGCTTGTACACCGCGCGGCTGAAGTAGCAGTCGAGAAGTCGGCCTTCATACAATGCTTTGCCGATAATGCGGCCCACAAACTTGAAGTACATCAGGTGCATGTCGTTGATACCACTGAGCTTGTTCGGGTGGAAAGTTGTGCGGTCCGAGGACACAGGAATGAACAATGCATAGTTGGCGTCGAACATCTGCCGTGCAAGCACCTGGAACCACTCGCGGGTGACACCTCCGGCATCGACGCCTTCTTCGCCATGGAATCGAATATTGAGCTTGCCGTACTTCATCTCATCGCCAGACTTGAAATAGAGGGACCGGAAGGAGTCATGGAAGACGTGCTCGCGTCGAACCGCAAGCTGCAGGGAAGCGAAAGCAGAGCGCTGCGTGCTAGCACGGCTGTGAACGCTCCGGTTGAAGTAGTTTCGCTTGTTGTCAAACTCCAGCACCTTAGGGTTCTTAACGAGAAGAGCGAATGTACCCGACATGAGCTTGGGGTTGTTTCTGACAAGCTCGTTGAGAATTCGGCGGTGGTCTTCGGTGAAGTTGAAGAAGAGTCCAGCCATGCGGGACTCGGGAGGAGGGCTTGAGAGGAGCATCTCCTTCTCGGAGACTTGCGCCGGGGAGTCTGCTGTGGCTGTGTTCTTGCAGACAACCATAAGGGACTCGATGAGGGGGAGAAGGATAGTTGCGACATTGACCATATTCTCGCGCTTGTGGATAGCCCTCAGACACTCGCTGAGCTTGTCCCACATGCTGGAGAAAGT